ATTTATATATATACGCACTTGCACTTTCCTTTTTTCCGTCCCTCACTAGCTCACTTTCCCTAACATCTGTTTTGTTCCCTCAGCACATTTTCTTCCTTCTCCCTCCTTCACCCGCACCTTCATCCTTCTCCACTTCTCTGAATTCTTCCTTTCTTCGTTCTTCGCTTTCTTTCTCTCCCTCCCATCTATTCGTCTTCCTATTCTTTTCTCCTTCCTTACCCCTCTCTATCTCTCCTTCAATCAATCTGTATTTTCTCTTCCTTGTCTATTTCTCTATCCGTCTTCCTATTTTTTTTCTCCCTCCCTCTCTATCCCTCCTTCGCTCCATCTCGATTTTCTCTTCCTTGTCTATCTATCTATCCGTCTTCCTACTCATTTTTCCTTCCCTTCCTCTCTCTATCCCTCTTTCATTCCATCTCGATTTTCTCTTCCTTATCTGTCTACCTATCCGTCTTCCTATTTTTTTCTCCTTCTCTTTCTCTCTCTATCCTTCCATCGTTCCATTTCGATTTTCTCTTCCTTGTCTTTCTATCTATTCTTTTCTCCATCCCTTCCTTTCTCTATCCCTCCTTCCCATAACAGTATGGAGATCGCGGGATAGAAAAGGCAGTCGCGATGTTGATGTAAACGTACGCATGTATGTATGTATGTATGCATGTTGTTAAGTATGCATATATGAATCTATGGAAGTATGTATGTATGTATGTATGGGTGTGTGTGTATGTATGTATGTACGTATGTATATATACAAGTGTATTTGTATACATGTGTGCATGTGTATATGCATGTATGTAAGCATGTGTGCATGTACATAAGTATGTGTGTATGTAGGTATCATATAAGCATTTATGTGAATACTTGTATGCATGTATGTATGTATATGTGCCCAATTAACCTGTCTGTTTGATGTATCCGTCCATCTTGTCTGTCTGTCTGTCTGTCCGCTTGAATGCATGTATCTATCTTGTCTGTACATTTTATGTGTCTTTACCCAGTCTGTCTTTACACTATATCTATGTTTGTCTATATGTCTGCCCGGTCTCTCCTTCTGCTTGTCTTCCCATTCTTACCCTTTGTCTGTGTCTAGTCTTTCCGTTTGTCTGTCTGTCTGTCCTTGCATCTACCCAATCCGTCTGCCTATCTGTCTGTCTGCCAAATCCGCTTGTCTGTTTGTGTGTCTATCTGTCAGTTTATCCGTCTGTGTATGTGTGAGTCTATTCGTTTATGTGTGTGTGTGTGTGTGTCTGTGAGTCTATTAGTCTCTGTGTGTGCGTGTGTATGTCAGTCTGTCCAACTGTGTGTGTGAGTCTATCAGTCCGTATATGTGTGTGTGTGTGTCAGTCTATCAGTCTCTGTGTGCGCATCTGTCAGTCTATCCGTCTGTGTGTGTGTCTGTCTGTTAATCTATCCATCTGCGTGTCTGTCTATCCGTCAGTCTATCCGCCTGTGTGTGTGTGTGTGTGTGCGTGTGTGTGTGTGTGTTCGCCCTCCTCCCCGCCCTGCCCATCCATCACCCAAATGATCATGTGTCTGACAGGTCGCGTGTGTGTCTTCGCTTGTTTGAGAGGCGCCAGAGCTTCATTAATTCTTCCTTAACATTTCGCTCACTTCGATTTTTCTCTGCTTTTTTTTTTTTTTTTTTTTTTTTTTTGAGGGGGAGGGGGTGTTGAGGAGGGGGTGGGGGTGAGGAGGAGGGGGGGGTTGAAAGGAATAGAGGAAGAGGGGGAGAAGAGAGGAAGGGAGGGGAGGGGAGGAATAGAGGAGGGGGTGAAAAGAATAGGGGAAGGATGGGGGGAGGGGAGAGAGAGAGAGAGAAGGAGGGGATAGAGGGAAGGGGTTGAAGAGAGAGGGGGAAAGGGGGGAGAGGGTAGGGGGTGAAGGGAAGGGTGGAGTAGGGGGAGGGATAAGGAGGGAGGGAGGAGGTCAGGGAACCGGGGAGGTAAGGAGAGAGGGAGTGGAGGGGGAAGGGGTGGGGAGAGTGACGAGGGGGAGGGTGAAGTAAGAATAGAGGGAGAGTGAAAGGCAGGAAGAAGGGGGGAGAAGGAGAGGAGAAACGAAGAGATGAATAACAAAGACGAAAGAAAAGGAGAGAGAGAAAAAGAGAAAAAAAAAACAAATCTCACCGAAATAAATGTCTTTAATTACATAATTTCTTTTCAATAGCGTTTCGTATGTTGCTATAGAGAGGAGAATGAAGGGAGAGGGGGGGGGAGGGGCCTTGAGAACGACCCCGGCTGGAGGCAACCTCCGACATACCTCCTCGTCTCCTTCTCCTCCTCCTCCTTTACCTACTCCTTTTCCTCTTCTTCTTCTTCTTCCTCCTCTCTTCCTCTTCATCATCATCATCTTCTTCTTCTTCACCTTTTTTTTTCTTCCTTCTTCTTCTTCTCCTCCTCATCTTCTTCTCTTCATCTTCTTCTTCCTCCTCCTCCTCCTGCTCCTCCTCCTCTTCCTACTCTTCTCCCTTCTCCGTTTCCTCTTTTTCCTCTTTCTTTTCTGCTTTTTTTATCGATCTTCTTATTTTTCCTCATCCATTAGGCCATTTACCTCGTTCCCTTTCTCTCCAAAGCTTCCCCTTTCTCCCCCATCCCCCCCCCCCATCCCCTCCTCCTCATCCTCCTTCGTCCCCTCTTTTCCTCTCCACCCTTCCCTCTTCCTCTTCTACCCCCTCCCCTCCTCTTTCTTCCTCATCCTCCATCATCCTCTCTCCTTCTCCTCCTCCTCCTTATCCTACACCCTCCCCTCTTCATCTTCATCCTCTTCCTCTATTTTCCTTTTCCTCCTCCTCCTCCTCTATTCTCCCTTGCTATTTTTTCTCCTCCATCTTCCCCCTCCCCCCCTCCCTTCCTCCTCCTCCTCTTCCTCCCTCTCTCTTCCTCCCTCCCTCCCCTCTCCCTCTCTCCTCCTCCCTCCTTCCTTCCTCTCCCTCCCTCCCTCCCTCCCTCTCTCCTCCTCCCTCCCTCCCTCCCTCTCTCCTCCCTCCCTCCCTCTCCTCCTCCCTCCTCCTCCCTCGTCTCCCTCCCTCCCTCCACCTCTTCCCTCCCTCCTCCCTCTCTCTCCTCTCTTCCTCCCTCCCTCTCTTCCCTCCCTCCTCCCTCCCTCTCTTCCTCCCCCTCTTCCTCCCTCCCTCCCTCTCCTCCTCCTCCCTCCTTCCTCCTCCCCTCCCTCCCTCCCTCCCCTCCCTCCCTTCCTCCTCCCTCTCCTCTCTTCCTCCCTTCCTCCCTCTCCTCCTCCCTCCCTCCTTCCTCCCTCCCTCCCTCCCTCTCTTCCCTCCCTCCCTCCCCTCCCTCCCTTCTCCTCCTCCCTCCCTCCCTCCCTCCTCCCTCCCTCCCTCTCTTCCTCCTCCAACATGCGTGAAAATGGCTCGCTTGTCTTCAGTAGATATAAATTTAGATGATCTGCACGTCTTGAATCATCTTAGGTAATAATCTCATGTGCTCGGGTCATCAAATTTTGCTCTTCTTTGTAACACCCTCATGTACACTGGGGCTTTTGGCTTCAGTGCCTTCGTGAGAATTAGCCTATGGAATTTTCTTTTTTCTTTA